TTCATCTCGAGACGCACAAAAACAACAGGGCCGAAATTTGGGGAACTTAATCTACATTCGAGTAAGGGCCCATCCCCGAAATGGGCGCTCTTACCCGCGTGGCACCCACGTACGGGTCCGCGAAAGTTTTTCGCCGGTAAGAGGCTAACTCGGGAATCAGAAAGGCTAAAAAGGTTAAAATTTTGCCCCAACCTAGGTTAAAATTTTCGGACTGCGGCCGATCCGCATTTTCCATGCCTCGGGTCGCCCGCTTGTTTCGGAGACTACGGTTCGGCCCACCAACGGCCGAACCGCAAATTATTTGAACAAACTTATCCCACCCTTCGTTTTAACTTTCTGACTCCGGCCGTCCCGCATTTTGATTTCTTTGGACTGTCCTGTTGTTTTAATGATTATAATTCGGTTTTCTGATATTTGTTACTACTGGGAGAGGGGAGTTACTATCTCTGGCATGAAAAAGGGGGATATTTTCACATACTGGAATTCGATCGGGATATTTGCGTCGAATTTTCTCGCCCTCAGCACGTCGTTTCTCGAACGGATTCTCTTCCTTGTACACCCACTTCATCATCCACTGATTGATCCTTCTTCGCTGTGAATTATCGAAAAAAAAAACAAAGCCTGAATAAAAAAATATACAATAAATAGCAGTGATAGACCACACTGCTTCACAAACTGTAACGATGCATAAGTATCCAAAAAAATATGCAAAAAATCAGAACAAACAACAAGAATCCTTTCCCCCCTTCGTTCTCGCGGCTGTATCCAGGAGTACTCAGGACAGCTAACGAAGTAGGAAAATATTTTAAAGTTGTTGGAAGAAGATAAAAGCAAATAATATTAAGAAATCAGTAAAAATTGTAAAAATATAATTATTTTAATGACAAGAAATGCTTCGATTCATTAAGTCGTATACATTTCTTACTATTACCACAACTGGACCTTGTCAATAAGCCTAAAAGTAGGTTAGGGAGAAAATATAAGCAAAAACGATGAAAGAGTTCTAAAGAATTATTTAAGTAGGTAAAGAAATGCTTCGGTTCATTAAGTTGTATACATTTCTTACCATTACCACAACTGGACCTCGCATCAGTACGATGACTGTGGTAACTGCAAACCTTTTCAGCAGTTGCTGGTTTTTGCAAGAATTACGCTGCTGTAATTCTTGCCTCCGAGCAAAGTCTCAGCTCCTTGTTACCCAAAAGCTAAACTATCACTCCTGGTTCTTACCTTCTTTTTATTCTGCGTCTACCCCGGGCGCCTCTTGCTCCCCCAGTCATTACAACTCGGCCAAGGAGGGCGCCGATTTTTTAGAAACTGCCCGTAACAGGTGGAGATTGTACGACGACCACGTACGCACAGCTT